TCGAAAATAAAACTATGTAACACAATAAATAATTACAGGGAAATTCAAGCATATTTTGAAAATAGAGCTAAAAGTAAGAAAATAACCAAAAAAAAAAAAAAAAAAAACAAGTAAAATAGTATCAGCATACCCCCAGCCCTGGGTTATTATTCAAGCTGTTGATATTTTATGGAGGAGGTTCCGAAGCATTTGGCTAATTCGTATCTGACCTATGTCGGATAAAAATATTACAACGTGCCATATTTGGACTATATCGTCTACTTCCTATACTTAATATGAGATATGTGCAAAGTTTTGGAAGATTTGGATGTATGCATGAGGTAACAGATACAGCGCACCAAAGTATTCCATTTTCATACTTCGTCTTCATACAGATACAAATATTGGTATATGCAAAATTTGAAGGAAATCGGATTTATATCCAATTTTTTACGAAATCATAAATTTCGATAAACAACGTAGTCCTATCAGATTTCTGGTAAGAGAAATATTTGGATATAGCAAGTTGTAAAGAATCGCCGACTTGTTTCGCAAGTTATGGAAATTCTGACCCTTTGTGGGTGAGGTACCAGAAGGGTTTGACTGATATATATCATCTTCACAACAGATGTTGAGTTATCAAAAATATTCTGATGTGTGAAATTTGAAGAGAGTTGGATGCTTACTCGCTTTCTTTGGGGGGTTTGTTTTTCAAAAATCTTGAACCTATGTGGGGGAGGTACCAGAAGAAGTGGACCGATATATCTCATCTTCACACAGACTTAGGGTTATTAAATATATTGCGATGTGCGTAATTTGAAGAGAGTTGGATGCTTATCTCGCTTTATTTGAGGGTTTTGTTGACCAAAAACCTTGAATCCTATGTGGGGGAGGTACCAGAAGAAATGGTCTGATCTGCGCCATCATTATAACAGATCCTGCGTTGATGGAAATATTGTGATGTACCAAGACTGAATGAAATCGGGTGCTCATTTCGTGTTTTATGAGCTTTATGAATATTCAAAATTTTGAACCGTTTGTGGAGAAGGTACCAGAAGGAGTGGACCGATATATCCCAATTTAACACCAGACTTTTGGGTCAATAAAAATATTTTGATGTGTGTTATTTGAAGAGAACTGGATACTTATTTCGGATTTTATGATCGTTTTGGTTATTTAAAATTTTGAACCTTTGTGGGAGAGGTACCAGAAGGAATGGCCCGATTTCTACCATTTTTATAACAGATCTTGTATTTATGGAAATATTAAGATGTGCCAAGTCTGAATGGAATCAGATATAAATGTCGTGTTTTATAAGCCTCATGAATGTTCAAAATTTTGAACCTTGAGGGGGAGGTACCAGAAGGAGTGGTCCGATATGTCCCATCTTCGCACCAGACCTTGGGTAAATAAAAATATTGTGAACTGTGTAATTTGAAGACAATCGTCACATCATAAGTGTTATATTTATTATGTTCACCCTTTGTTGGGGAGGTACTTGATGGAGTGTACCGTATTGTCCATTTTCGCACCTGACCTAGCACTGATGCAAATATTTGGATTTGCAAAATCGGATTATCCTTTCTCTTTCTGTGCAGTATTATATCTTTTTTTTTTTTGAAAATTTTGACCTTTTGTGGGGTAGGCACCAGAAGGAGTAGACCCATTTTGCTTATCTCCGAACTCGATCTAAATTTGATAATAGTATTATGATGTACCAAGTGTGGACAAAATTGGATACTCTCTTCGAGAGTAATCGTGCGCACCAATCAGCAGATAGAAGGACGTACGGACATCGCTAGATTGACTCTAAATGTCCTAAAACGGATTTGGTTTCAAAAAATGAAAAATTTTTAAAAATTAAAAAATATATTTATTCTGATATAGAATTTGGATTTGTCAAGAATTGTTTCTTCGAAAGTGAATTTTTAAATATTAACGTGTTTTTGTTTCAAATGTCTTTGTTTGTATTAATTTGTAAAAAGGCACAATGATCTTCACGCTTCTGAAAATACCCATCCACTAATAATTTTAAATCAACCATTATATGTAAAAGAGCACAGCGTATATAATTGTTAAGATATGACCTTACGCACTTAGCAGCAAAGAATAGTCGAGGTTAATTAATGGGTTTTCCAATGTACAGTACAGTGTTTTAATGATGAAGAAAAAAATAAAGCCCAAATAAAAACGAAAGACTTAAGACAAAAACTTGCTTGCTTCTTATGACTTAGCAGGTTTCATGTGAAGATTTAACCAGCATTAACAACAAACACAGCATGAAAACAAGTTTTTTTTTTTTTGCTTTACAACTTGCAGTTTTACAGAAAACAAGACGGACTGAAAAACAAAAAAAAAAAAAAAAAAACACACAATGGAACGCTTGATTTTTTTGCTGCATGATGTATTGTTTATTTCCTAGAGGAAATCCAAACCAAAAAATGAAAAATATATACCCCAACGAAATTGATGTGTGAAACATAAATAGGAATTAATAAAAAAAAGATTCAAAATGTTTACAACTCAAAGCGTTGTGGTATTAATTTGTTTTGCATTTGTTGGGTTTATTTATGAATGAAAACGAAAGACTTAAGACACAAACCTGCCCTAAACCGTTGTTCGACAAATTTCCATTGATGGATGGATGGATTAACTAACGAGTGATGAGGGTAGGTGTATGCATTGAAGATAAATAGAGGCGTAGAGAAAACAGACAACAAATAAATCGTCACTTCATTTGATGTTGAGTGCATTTATTATTTATGGTCATATTTTCCCAAGCTTCGGACTTGACGTTACTTTCTCTTTGTGTCATTTTATACTAGATATGTTGGAGAAAAAAAGAGCTTATATTAGGATTTTTTCAATTAAATATAAAAACATCAAAACCCATGATTTTTGCCAAATACCTATTAAAGAATGTTGGCCCACAATTTTTATTCAAAATTGTCTTAAAAAGTCAACAATTTTGTAGAGGAAGTCATTGAAAAAAGTATTAGAAAAACATATTGAGGCGCTCAACAATTTGACCAAATCTTAGACCTGTGAAAATAATAGTAACAGGAAATCAGGAACTAATTTCACATATTTTGGATGTTATGACTTTTCAAATTGTAGCAATTCGGCGTGAGTAAGGTACCGGAAGGAAGGGTCGATGTATACCGTATTAATATTAGATCTATAGCTGACTTTTTATCAGAGTTATGAGTTGAACCTTTGTGAGGGAAGTACAATAAGAAATGAATCGATAAGTTCCGTACTAGATATCCACAAGTTTAAAGTAGTGTAATTATTCGAAATTTTTACAAATTATGGGGGGAGATATCGGAAGAAATTGGTCGAAATTTTTCAAATTCACATCAGATCTCTGGTTGAATGAAACATTGAGGTAAGCACAAGTTATAAGTGCTTTTAATATTTATGAGATAGGTACTTGAAAAAGTGGTCCGATATCTACCATCTTAAAAACAGATATTCTGTTGGTAGAAATATAAGAAATATTATCTTTCTATGAGCGTTTTTGTTTTTTAAAAAATTGACCCCTTGGCGGGGGAAGGTAGCAGAAGGAGTGGTCCGATATATCCCATCGTCAAAAGAAATGTAAGCGGACTCCTATTTCGATTTTTAAAAGAGTTATGATTTTTAAAAATATTTAACCTTTAAGGCGAGGTATGTGATGGATAGGTCCATTTCTGCGCCTAATCTACCACCTATTTACAATTTATTATTTTCAGTGATTTTTTTAATTTTGTGGTGAGGTCTGGTGACCAGTCCGATCTCTACAATCTTTATAACATATCTTGTGTTAATAGAAATATTGAGATTTGCCAAGTCTGAATTGAATCGGATGTTATTTTCGCGTTTTATGAGTTTTATGGATATTCAAAATCTTGACCCTTTGTGGGGGAGGTACTAGAAGGAGTGTCGCGATATATTCCATCCTCATACCCGATCTTGTTTTATTGGAAATAATGGGATGTTTAAAATATGACGATAATCGGATGATTTTTTCGGATTTTATAATCGTTTTTGTTATTTAAAATTTGGACTCTTTTTGGGGGAGATATCAGAAGGAATCGACCGACATATTCTTGACCCTTTGTGGGGGAGGTACTAGAAGGAGTGCACCAATATATCCTATCCTCATACCAGATCTTGTCTTAGTAGAAATAATGGGATGTTTGAAATATAAAGAGAATCGGATGCTTATTTCGGATTTTATAATCGTTTTTGTTATTCAAAATTTGACCCTTTATGGGGGAGATGCCAGAAGGAATCGACCAACATATTCCATACTTACACCAGACCTTGGGTTAATAAAAATATTGTGATGTGCCTAATTTGAATCGGACAATCGCACTCTTACATCATATTTTATAAGAGTTATAATTATTCAATATTTTGACCCTTTGTAAAAGAGATTCTAAATGCGGTGGACCGATTTTGTCCATTTTCACACCTTACCTAGCAATGATGCAAATATTGGGATTTGAAAAGTTGGAGCAAAATTAGATTATCATTTCTCTTTCTGTGCAAGTAAGGTTTTTTTTTTTGGAACTTCGACCTTTTGTGGGGATGCACCAGAAGGGGTAGACCGATATGCCTATCTCCGAACTCGATCTTAGTGTGATAATAATATTACGATATACCAAGTTTAGACCAAATCGGATACTCCCTTCGAGAGTTACGGTGCCCACCAGCCAGACAGTCGGACGGAAGGGTACGCCGAAATCGACTCCAAATGCCTTGAAACGAATTTTGTGTTAAGAGACCCAGGGTCTTAAACCATTATTTCGGTAGGGCGCATTAGATGATTTATACCCTCTGTACTCATTTGGCTGAGGGTATAATTGCCATGTGTCAAGTTTGAATTTAATTGATTACACTCTTATATAATTTTTGAGAATTGTGAAAATTTCGATTTATAGAAATATTGCGATGTACCAAATTCAAATTGATATAAGATATGGAATCCCTATAAATAATCTCTATCAGTTATTTCCATTAAATATTACACTTACCTCCAGGTATTACCCAAAATGGGTATTGGTTTTGGTCCAGGCACCTCTTCATAGGGCAAAGCATTTTGCCATTCGGTTGTGTGATGTATTAATGGCACCATATCGTCATGTTCATACATGGTGTTGCTGCTCAAATGGGGACAAGTTGGTGGAGCAGCAGCAGCAGCACTGGAAGAATTTTCACGCTTACCAACGTCATACAGACAATTTGGCTTCGAGCGTAATACTGTCGATAATGTTGAATTGCTTGCAACCGTTGCCAAAGCAGTTAGTGTGTTAGCAGTATTACATGTTCGACCACGCAGCGTATTCAATGACAACGACAAGGCAGCAGCAGCGGCACTCATGATTGACTTTCGTTGGTTTTCTTTTTCCGTTAATGTTTTTCGAGCCAAAAAATCACAAAAGCAATTAAGTAAGACTTTGTTTAAATTTTTTTCTTGGCGTTAATTTTTGTTTCGTTTTTTTCACAATCTACACTTGAAATATTTATTTGTTATAATTTGTATTCTGGAGTGAAATTTTCACAGTGATTCACTAAATTTCTTCTTTCACTTCATATTCGTAAGAAACCTTAAACCACGAAATATTTTCACCGGACATAAGACAAAAGCAATTTCCTTTTATGTATGAAATTTTGTGGGAAGCAACACCACCACCACAACGACGCAGCAACAAACCGTTGAGTTTGCTGTTCGAAAAACAACTAACCCAAAGCTAAATTGTTCGTTGTAACATGAGCCAAAGCATATTTGCGTGATCGGTGCGAACAACAACGAAGTTGTTGGCTTAGCTTTGTATTAGCTGTTGAGTTTCTTGCTGAATTGAGGCGTAGATAAATTTGCGGTTATTTAGATAATTTTTTTTTCTACAGATACATGAATGTGACTTGGGCTGAAAAGTCTAGGGCTATATGAAAATGGTAAATGCAAAAAATATATATTTTAGTTGAACAAAATGAAATATGTACCATAAAAATATTTTTTTAAATATATTTTTAAGGAATACAATTAGAGACACTGAAGTCGATTCCTCATAGAATATTAATTTCAAGCTCTGCCGAGAATATTTGAAGAACTTCTTTTCTAAAACTGTCAGAGTCGCGAACGTGTTTTTTTTTGAAGATGAGTTTTCAATGAATGTCTGGCATATTTAAAGATCTTATTTAAAGTTATTTGAGACATTGAAGAGAATTTTTTTAAGTCATAAATTTAAGGACAATCGAGGATTTTTAAAAAATTTAATTTGTCATTGGAGACATTGAAAAAATTTTTTCAAGGATTATTGGGGATGTTTTAAAAATATCTTACAAATACTTCCAAAGGCGCTTACAATTCCTTATGGAGTTTTTCATGGACTACAGGGTGAGATGAAAAACCTGCAACCTGCAAATTCAGACTGCTGTCATTTCTAAGCCACTTCCGAAGGGTGTTAAAATTATTCCTGTGACAGTTCATAATATTGTTTACAAGCGTACAAAAGCATTTTGATGAGAATTTTCCGGAAAACATATCGCAACATTCCATTCGGCAAATATTGAAAAATGACCTCGGGATAAAGCCATTGAAATTCCAAAACTTGCAAGAACTTACACCGCAACAGAAAGAAAATAGATTCAAAAGAATTTCTTCGCTTGCCCGAAAGTGGTGAACTGCAGAATTTGGTTTTCTCATATGAGAAAACATTCGTTGTCCAGCAGGTTGTAAAAAACAAAAAAACAAACAAACAAAATGTTCGTGTTTACCTGCCAAAGAGGTCGGCTGAAAATATGCACCTTCGGTTGGCCACCGGAACTCAAGCGCCGGCCATGGTGATGGTGTGGGCCACCATAACAGCCGATGTTCGCTCTCCGCTCGTATTAATCGACCATGGCATCAGAATAAATGCTGAATATTATCGCAAAAATATTCTGGAGGGTGTATTAAAGCCTTGGGCAACCAAACATTTTAGCCGCAGACCTTGCACATTCGAACAGGACTCAGCACCTTCTCACTCAGCACGCGCCACCCTAGAATGGTTACAAAATGAGGTTCATCGCTTCATTTCCAGCGCACAATGGCCACCAAAATCTCCGAATACCAACCCGTTGGACTACTGTGTCTGGCGTATTTTGGAAAGCAAGTTTGGCACTAAACATACCAAAGTGTCGATCACCTCAAGCAAGCGCTTCGCCGGGAATGGGCCAAAATACCGCAGAGCAACATTCGGGCAACGTGTGACGGTTTCATTGGTCGTTTGAAGGCCATAATTCGTACCAAAGGTGACCAAATCTACTATTAATTTAAATTTGATGCTATTTCTGAAATTTTTTGGGCCATGGGCCAAAATACCGCAGAGCAACATTCGGGCAGCGTGTGACGGTTTCATTGGCCGTTTGAAGGCCATAATTCGTGCCAAAGGTGACCAAATCTAACAAATCTACTATTAATTTAAATTTGATGCTATTTCTGACATTGCATTCATTCAATAAAATTAAAAAAAAACATTAAAAATTATAGCGTATGACTTTGTTGCAGTTTTTTTTATCTCATCCTGTATGTACTTTATCGGGTCTACCGCGAATATTTAGGGATGTTACAAACGGAATGACAAAGTTAATATCAAGGTTGAGGGTATAAAGACAATGTCCTGTACTACAACGGTGGTTTAGAAACCCTGATGAAAAAAAGGGGAGAGCACCTATACATTGTGGTAAAAAATTGAATATATCACGACTAAAAAATTACACAGAAAAACTTAGCGAAGGTCCCATGTTCGTTAAAATGATAAATGATTTTACCAAAAATGATAAATGATTTGAAAAAATTAAAATTTTTAGATGTACATCAATTGAAATTGGCTTCAATAAGTACAAAAGCATACTGAAATTTTGTACAATTTGTTAACTCTTTTTACGTTTAATTTTTACCATTTTCATCTCCATTGGTGGACTATTATTTTATACACAATTAATTTTTATTGAAAGTTTTTTATTTATTTATCTTTAAATTATAAAAGTAATGTTTGGGATGGATTAATAATTGGCTCTGGTAACTGTAACTTATTTTCTAAACATTACAAATAAAAAAATGTTTAGCATTTTTTCATGGTAAAATAATATTTTAAAAGGAAAATTATAAATTTTACACTTACGTTGTATATTATTTATTGTTTTGTTGAAAAATAGTAATTATTTACATATAATACCAGCTTATATTTTAAAGGGATTCTGTAATGTGTTGTTGTTGTTTTTTCTTGCTTTTTATAAATGGAAATTCCGAGAAATCCCATTTTATGTGCATCTTAATTAATAATATTTATTCCAGCAGAATATTTTATTTGCGGCTCGATATTGAGAAATTCTTAATGTAGGTATTATAAAAGAAATCATAATCGATGATAGTAAATTACTTTATTTTTCTCATAATTTTTTAGTTATTAAAATTTATCGTTTAAATATCACATAAACACAAAAAATTTAGCCATATTTTAATTATATAATTTTTCATATATTTTCTTTTAAGTGTATCCCAAACTTTAATTTAAAATTATTTATTAATTTTTACCGTTGTTTTTCATTTATTACTTGAACCGTGTGCATTTGAATTTGCATCCACTATAATCTAATGCCAATTATACATATCCCAAAATTGTAACGGTTATCTCGTATATGATCTCTGAAAATACTTTTTTTCGATTTAAAGCGGTACACAATGGGACAATACTTTTTAACTAAACACTCGACAATAAAACAATTTACAAATTTCAATTTTGTTGGTCTTTTGCCAAATAAAAAGGAACATTAAAAATAGTTATGAGACTCCTTATCAATGAAAATTTTTAAAAATCTAAAAAATATTAACTTCAACATTGTTGCAAATAATTTAAAGAAGAATTGAACTACAATTTCCCCTTCAACTTCTTAAAAAAAAAAAAAAACAATTTAAAAACATTAAGTTCGGCCGGGCCGAACTTTTACTACCCTCCACCTTAGGGTAATGTAACATTAGAACCAATTATGTAATGGAACATAATACCAATTTTTAGACATGTTCGTGAAAAAATGTGGCAAAAATCATCAAAATACCGAATATCTGGAGGTGCCGCTATAAAGGGCTATGCATAAACGTGAACCTGTACAATGTTTCGCCAACGGAGCTAGAACCCATTAGAACACACGAATACCAATTTTTAGACAAATCCGCGAAGAGATTTGACAAAAACTATCAAAATACCGAATATCGGGAGGTACCGTTATATGTGAGCTATACCAAAACGTAGGCCTATACATACAATGTTTTGCCACCAGAGCTAGAACCCATGATGACCAACAAATACCAATTTTTAGATAAATCCGTGAAAAACTGTGACAAAAACCATTAAAATACCGAATATCGGGAAGTACCGTTATATGGGGGCTATACCAAAACGTGGACCTATACATACAATGTTTCGCCACCAGAGCTAGAACCCATGATGACCAACAAATACAAATTTTCAGACAAATCTGTGAAAAAATGTTGCAAAAATCATCAAAATACCGAATATCGGAAGGTGCCGTTATATGAGGACTATACCAAAACGTGGACCGACCATTTTCACTACCAGCCATTCTAGACACAATACAAATTGTTCTGCAAAATTGTGAGGCTCTACGTCAAATAATGTGGTCTGTATCTTGATTTCAATAGACAGACAGACGAACAGACGGACATCGTAAAATCGACTTAGAATTTTATGCTGATTATGAATATATATACTTTATGGGGTCTGCGACGAATATTTAGAGACGTTACAAACGGAATGACAATAATATAATAAACAATAATATATCCTTCTTTCCAAGGTAGAGGGAAGAAAAACAATGAACTGAAAAATTGTAAAAAAATACAAACGAAGGGGAAACTACCACGACCTACTGAAAAATATGGAATATTTTCATTAAATTATTTTATTATTTTATTTATTTTATCTTAAAAATGCAGCAGGTGAAACAAATTTGTATACAATTGTAATAAAATTTTTGAATTTCAATAATTTAAAATTCTCTCTTATATTGAATTTCCAAATCTAATTTTCTGTTCAAATCACCATCTCTTAATCAATTATCCCATTGTGTACAAATCTAGGAAAACTACAACGCATTCCATTATGAAATGCTATGCAGAGTTTTTTAAAAAAATCAAATAATTTAAGCACTATTGCATATTTTAAATTTTAGTTCTTTTCTATACGAATTCGGTATTTAACGACTTACCCAGTCTACCCAGATGCATTCATTCACAGGATTTGCAAATATTGCTGCCTGTATAGCTTTACAACTCACTCGTATTACATTATCTATAATTCATATCAACTAAATTATCCTGATGATAAACATTTTCATGGTTTGCAGTTGAGGGATTTTCATGGTCCATGCTGCCATGTGGGGTTTGTGAATTGGGAATATATTCGCCTGGCAATAGATTTGTGGCTACGGATATATCAGCACCAGGCGGTAAACGTTCCTTGGGAATTGCCTTGGGAATATTTTCAAATGCTTCACGTTGTCTACGTCGCAAATCTTCCTCTTGGCGATTCAAATCTTCCAATTGCCTACGGGCTTCCTCGGCTGCGGCTTGCCTGCCAACAAGATCGGTTGGCAAGACATTTGTGGCAATAGAAATGTCAGCGCCGGGTGGCAATCGTTCTTTTGGAATGGCTTTGGGCACATTTTCTAGTGCTTCTCGTTGTTTGCGTTGCAATTCCTCCTCCTGACGTTTCAGCTCCTCCAATTGTTTGCGAGCTTCCTCGGCAATAGCCTCGCGCTCTGCTTGGGCTTTGCGTTTGGCCTCGTATTTGTCACGTTGCTGTATTGCCAATTCCTCCTTGGCCTGATAAACTGTCGAAGGAACAAATGTGGGACGTTCCTGATGCACCTTCATGTGACGTTTAAGAGCAACAACTTGAATGAAACGCATGCCACATTGATCACAAGCGTGTGGTTTCTCACCGGTGTGCGTCATTTCGTGATGTTTTAAAGTTTGTGCTTTAGCAAATCGTTTGGGACAGAAACGACAGGCGAAATCTTTTACGCCCTGGTGGACAATTTTATGATGTCTTCTTAGATTTCCAGAGCCATTGAAACCTTGGCCGCAATCTGGACATGTGTATTTTCCTTCCTTCATCATAAAGTTAATTTGAGGCGACCATGAGGGCAATGCCAATTGAGGTATGGGATTGACAGCAGTACCAGCCAGATCGGCAATGTCGACCCGCTCAACCCTCCTTGGATCCTTTGGAATGGAGTTGACCGAGTCGGCACACACTTTGAGGATTTCTTCTGCAACCTTCTGATGGGATTCCTGTGTATTATCGGGATCAGGTAGTTCTGGAATAGCATCAGCCTGTTCGGGAGGTAATTCACCAGACTCAACTTGTCTCTTACGATAAACCTCAATGGCCCGTAGTACCCTTTTCTCGTGCGTCTTCAAATGTTTGGTTAGGCCCTTTGGATAAAGGAATCGTTTGCCGCAAACTTTACATTCGCATTTCTTTTCGCCCGTGTGTGTCATTTCATGCATCTTACAGGCATTGGATTTGCCAAATGTTTTTCCACAGTATTGGCAAGCATAATCCTTGATCTTCTCGTGTACCACCCGTACGTGCATGCGCAGATTTTGTTTGTTGTGCGAAGCATGAGGACACAGGTCGCATTTGAATTTCTTTTCAGTGTTGTGGGTGGCTATGTGGGTATTCCATTCCTGGCGAGTGGTCTTGCCCACACCACAATAGGGACATACATAATTCTTAATGCCAGCATGACGCATTAGATGGTCTTTGAGGGCACTGTTGATGACGAAACGTTTACCACAGATGTTACAGGGGAATGGCAACTCCTGGCCGGTGTGCTTGAACATGTGTTTCTTCAGGGCCATGGGGCATTTGAATACCTTTTCACATTCGTTGCAAGGATATGATTTGGGTACGTCTTCCTTGGCAATTTTGTGGACCCTCTTCAAGTGCCAGTTCAAGATGCGACGACGAGTGAATTTCATATCACAACCTGGCTGAGTGCAAGGTATCTTCTCCACAGTTTCATCGTGACAATGCTCAACATGCAAACGCAGTCCGTAGGCTGTGGTAAACCCACGTTTACAATTCTCCACTTCGCACTGGAAGGGTAACTTGTCGTTGTGAAACTTCATATGCTCCTCATAGTTCTTTGTTTTCTTGAATTTCTGATGGCAAATGTGGCAATCAATGATGCGATGCAAGTGACGTTCAGCAGCGGGGATACGTTTACGTTTCGGCTTCACCTTGGGATCCTTTGTCTCATCATCTTCCGTTTGTTCCTCCTTATACTCCTTCTTAATGTGTCTTACTCTTGTTGCCAATGGTTTGTCATCATCACTGTCAGTATCGTCATCGTAATTTTCGCCTCCAAATTGATATTCAAAATCACTGTCCTTTTCATCGCCACTGGACTCCTCACTGTTGGAATCATTTATTTCCTCCTTCTCCACTTTCGTCTCAATTCCATCGTCTTCTGGTTCCTCCTTGTCCACATTTTCCAGCATCTTAAATACATCTTCCTCATTTTCAATCATTTCCATTTTATGATTAGTTAGCAAAGGATCAAAATTTAAATTGTCCTCATCCTCGTCTGGCAAACCCAATTGGACCCCCTCAATTGGTTCGGTGACTGGGGCCGCCTCCATCATGTCGAAAGTGTTGGGTGGAAAATTCGTAACAACATGACTGGCCACAAGCTCCTGAAATCTTTGCACCGAATCGGCACAAAGTCTCTGGAAGTCTGCCATATCATTGAGACGGGTATAGCAGACCCCACAAATATTCTTGGGAAAGCCATCATTCTCCTCCACCGATAACGCCGTACACATACACAATTTTTTCTTCAATCCAGCGACCAGGAACAAATTGTAGGCATTGTCATTTTGCAAATACTCCAAGCAAATCCGGCAAATGGAATGAATATCCATGATTGGAAGCGATGATATTATCCAATTTTCTGCTTTTTATTTGTTTTTCTTTTCTGCCCGACACAAAATTTACAATTTTATTTTTAATGCGACAAAAACACCTCGTATGTCAAATAGTCTGCCCGATTGAAGAATTAACACCGACGCCACCGAGTAACGAATAACGAGTAACGAACAAAGACCACTACGATACGGCAACACTGAAAGGAGAGACAGTACAGAGAGAAATCTGAATAAAGATGTGGAATCAAAACAGAAAGGCTGACAAAATACGTTGAATCAAAACAGAAAGGCTAGACTATGGACCAGTGTTGCCACATAAAAACAGCATATTACATACGGAGGATGAAAATATTACACATTTATGAAAAATTACACATGTGTTAATTTTTTATTTTGTTAAATAAAAACGTCTATACATGGTAAAATTAAGAAGGTAAAGGTATTTCAAAAAATCATACCCATCATTTTCTGTAACAAGGTTTCCATCTCTGATTTGTGTATTTACTATGAGTTTATAAATATATATTTTGACAAAACGATGTTGTGAAACATATAATTCTGAAAAAAAAATTGTAAACATATGTTTGCATGACTTTACCTTCCTGATTCTACAATGCGTCTATCATTTTGTGCCAAGTTTTTATAAAAATGTATAACTAAAAATATAATTTCCCCGATAAGCAGACCATCTTTCTTCACTAATAAGCAAACGTTTTAATAAAAATAACAATACTGGAATTAAGCCTAACTATTTTTCAACAGCAAAATACTATGGTATCTCGAATAAACGTGCAAACACTGTTCCATAATTCTAATAAATACACGTTATTTTTTCTACTTAGTTTTAGTAAACATTTCTATCGTCGGTCCAAAGTGTAGGACTCCATTCCAATGTATACCTTTTTTAAAATCCAATGTTTCAAATTGTGTTTCTTAGATCTGTTTAGGAATTATTTGATGTGTTAAATATTCGATTGCATAAGTCTTGAGATTCTCCTATTGGCTTAATTTAATATTACTCTCTATTACAAAGAGTAATGTTTTTCAAAATGAAATTGACAGCATTGTAAAATTTGCTGATTGTTACCAATATCTTGATTTTATCCCAGCAATATTGAATGGTCACAACATTCACTTCTTCCCTTTCCCAAAAATCATCAGAATTAAATGAAAGTGTACACATGGAATGAAAAATTAAACACGATATGTGTAATTACACATGGGTGGCAACACTGCTATGGACTTGAGTGAAAACCGAGTACTCGACTATTCATAGTAATGTCAAATAGTACCGAGTCAATTTTTTTCTCGTGTTGCCACAATGCAAATCTTTTGTGATTGCAGAGTTGCCATCTCGTTTAACTCTAGAATCCCAATCCCATAAAATTTATTTAATAATTACATATACAAATCAAGCCAAAACAAAAAAATATCGTATTTAGATCGTAATATTGAATGTATAATCTAATTTATTTATTAATAGTGTGTGTATGTTTTCATTATATATTTAACAACACATTAACCGCAATGTTTAAATGTGTATGTCGTGTTAGCCAACCGTAATGAAAAATAACGTTACGTTACCGCTACGATACAACAAAAATAACGTATCATGAATTTGATTTATTGCACAAGAAAATGAAAATACTGAAAAATATATCACATACATAATATTTAAATTAACATTATGAGTTAAGGAGGGTATTAACACTAATAATACTTTTTATGGGTCTAAAGTTAGATTTTTTCAACGAGAATCCGTCTGCGGCGTATAGCATTTATTTACATCACAATTCAGCGACCAGTTTATCCAGTTAGAGCCATATTGATGTTCGAAAGCAGGCGGATCTGATTCACGTTGCTTTGAAACGAGATCAGAAGATAACACACTTTTGCATTCGGGCTGATGCGTGCGTTGCAATTCATCTCCACGCTGTTTCACCTCATCCAAATGTTTGACTTTTTCCTTGCGTTCCCCCAACGTATGGGTCATTTCATGCATTTTGCAGGTTATTGATTTGTCAAAGGTTTTACCACAATAGGGACACACATAGTTGCAGGATGATGACAACTCGTGGTTGGTATGCTTCATCATGTGTTTATTCAAAGCCATGGGGCATTTAAAAGCTTTATCGCATTCTTTGCAGGTATGCATTTTCGAACCTTTACTCACAACATCCATGACAATGTTATGGGCTCGTTTTAAATGCCAGTTTAGGATGCGGCGGCGAGGAAATTTCATATCGCAACCGGGTTGGGTGCAAGAAATCCTATCCACAATATCGTCATGAACACGTTCTACGTGCAAACTAAGCCCATGAGCTGTTGTAAATCCTCGTTTGCAGTTTTCCTCCTCACACTGGAACGGTAACTCAATGTCATGCATCTGCTTGTGTTTCTCATAGTTTTTAATTTTCTTAAACTTCTGGTGGCAAACACTGCACTCCGAAATTGGATTCTGTGGTCGTTTTGAAGCTGTAACGCCCTTGCTTTTGGCACTAACATTTGTTAACAGAGGATCAAAATGTGAACTATTCTCATCTTCCTCCATTTGGACATCCTCAATTGGTGTATCTGTGGATAGCTCACCTTCCAATTCACATGGGCTGGGTTCAAATTTGGTAACAATTTGCCTTGAAACAAGTTCCTCAAATCTGTGGACTGAATCGGCACAAAGTTTCTGAAAATCTGCCATATCATTGAGCCGATCATAGCAGTCCTTGCAAATGTTCTTGGGAAATTTGTCATTTTCTTCCACCAACAGTGATGTACACATACATAATTTCTTCTTTAGACCAGCAACTAGGAACAGGTTGTAGGCATTATCATCCTCTAGACTCTCCAGACAAATTCGACAAATGGAATGGATATCCATGATTGAAAAGCCTAAGAAATGGCCTGGTTTCCAACGGATTGCGGGTTTGTTGTCCCGTATGTCCACCTGCTTCGTATGTGTTCTGTTCAATTGGGACATTTGGATTAATACATTTTTGGGAAATTTGCGATTTTACTCACTGTTCTTACAACATATGAATATCCTGATGATCCTATTCAACCAAGGTGTCCAATTCCTCCAATTTCCTCCCTTTTGTGCGGAGGTGAGTTGGTTGAGCCGGCGTTTGGGAGGGACGGGAATCCGTCCCCAACAAAAAATACTTTCCTGGAATCAGGGTACAAATAAATACAGCTGGAAAAAATATCCTCGAGTTAAGCCGCTGGAGACCCACGCATTGGAGGTTATGTTGGCGGTCAGGTTTTACTGTTTTTTAAATCACGCACAATCTCAAATCACTCATATGCACATTTGTTCTATTTGTTTCTAGATATTTATATATACATTTTTATACGTAAATAATTAAATAATTAATGAATTAATGAATTAATTAACAATTTACAAACCGACGCCACCGAGAGAGTGAATGAACTAACGAACAAAGGATACTTGGCAGCACTGAAAAGAAAGACAGCACAGAAAGAAAATCTCAATAAAGATGGGAATCAAAAGGGAAAGGCCGACAACACAAGTGGAATCAAAACAAAACGGCCGACAACATAAGTGGTTTGAACACACATTCACCAAAGGAGCGCGGAACTAGCTGTTATGTCGCAACAATGGCAACACTGAAAAGAAAGACAGCACAGAGAGAAAATCGATAATAAAGGTGGGAATCAAAAGGGAAAGGCCGACAACACAAGTGGAATCAAAACAAAACGGCCGACAACATAAGTGGTTTGAACACACATTCACCAAAGGAGCGCGGAACTAGCTGTTATGTCGCAACAATGGCAGCACTGAAAAGAAAGACAGCACAGAGAGAAAATCGATAATAAAGAGGGAATCAAAACAAAACGGCCGACAAAGTGGTTTGAACACATTCACCAAAAGAGCACGGAACCAGCAACGCCGTCAATGTTATTACTTCGCAGTGATTAACAAGATCCATGACGCCGCCCAGATTCACCGACGCCGTCAATTGCTAACATTGAATATGAAAAGACTTTGATTTCAATTAATTTTTTAATAATGTTTTAATTTCTTATTTATCACTCACATCATAGAACAATTATCATTATCATTATCATAGAACAATTTTTGATCAAAATTAAAATTATTCGCCCTCTTTAACTTGATAAAAATTTAGGTTCGAGTGAATCAATAAAACAAATTAAACAATTTTTTTCATTATGAATTATTTATTCACTTGTATATTTATAAATTAATTATATTTTTTTACACATTTATTTTCATTTCCTTTTTAGCAATAATTGCTTTGTCATTTTTTAATATATATTTTCACAATATTCTCATTCTTACTATCCAATAATAATAATAATTTCTTATATAATATAATTTAATTGTATTATATTAAAGAAGATTTTGTGCAAAACAAAAAATGAACATTTGTATTTTTAAGAAATGTTTTGTTTTTAATTTTTTAAAGTGATGGTTTATGTATATTTAGAGTAAAAATGTATAAGTTATTGTAGTAAACTTATTTATGTGATTTTAATGCGACCATAGAGTGGATGAATAATGTTTTCTTTTGTTTTCCAAGTTAAGAAAAATAAATGTGACGTAAAAAAACATTTAATTTTTTGGTTTTCCAGATTTATAAAATCTGTAGAAAGTAAAATCCTAAAATCATTTTTCTTAACCTATAAAAAACAAAAGAGACCATTTTTATTTATAGATTTATGCATTTTTCTAATGAATGTATTTATAAAAAATCGATTTTATGACTCATTTTTTTCATTCACAATGGCAAAATATGTTATATATGTATATGTATTTATATCTAAATATATAAATGTGTGGTTTTACATGGCTGAGGATTTGCTTTCTATCTTTTTCGTTTTCATGTTTCACTTATCGTATTACTTTTAAAAGCTTAGTTTAATAACTAATTACAAAATTAAGATCTGACAAAGGAAAAACAAAGAAGTAAGGCATACAAAATAACTTAATTAATGGCATTACAAAAAAGAAAACAAAGTAAAATAATAATATATATTTTCTTTAATTATAGTACTTAAAATATATCGTTTTAATAACAAGACAATTAATTCCTAAAATATAAATCTTAGTTTTTTTTTTGGCTAATATAAGTGTTGATTATATACTCAAGTCTAAAGTCAATAATTTTTAGTAGTTTTTTATAGGCAGTAAGTCAATTTTCCATAAATGCTACTAAATGCAATGCAATTTTTAACCTAAATAAAATTGAAATTTGTATTTTTTTAATCTAAAAATTAACCAAACAAATGATAACCTGGAAAAACAGGAAAATCGTAGTGTTTCTCTAGTTAAGATTCAAGTCCAGTTCTAAAAAATGGGAAAAATAAAAAAACCTATTTCCAAAAAGAAAAAAACATTTAAGTTGGGAATACATAAAGCGCTTATATGGCTGGCATCTTCTAAAATGAACAAAGGAGGCAGTCATATAAGCGCTTTATGTATTCCCTCCTTTACTCTGCTTCAGAACTGCAAGAATTTAAAAATGTTTACTACAATAACCGATTTTTTCTTATGATAACGAAAAAAATGCAAAGCTAGTAGATTGCAGATTCTGGAACAGAAACATTTTTGTCGTTTGTGTTTTTAAAAAAATTAAAATATTTAGCTTGTTCGCTTGGTCGGAAGACTGAAGTCAGACGTTGAAAAATTACGAGACTTTTTGGAAATCAGAGATTGAGGTGTTCTAATTTTCCTTCACCTCAAAAACTTTCAATGAAACACTTCACCATCTGACTATAGAATTAAATAATTATAAAAACAATTAGAAGGAATTCATGAAAAACATAAATCCTTTAATTGACGTTAAGAAACATATAAAAGAAGTTTAAAATAAATGGCACATTAGTTATTCATAAGAAACAAGGTGCAATTCTGTAAGTTCGGTGTGCGCTAAGTAGTGGAAATTGTTGCTTATATCGTAATTTACGATAAAAGAAAATTTCATAAGGATCGTAATAAAATTTAAGAACTAAGAACAATCGAAAACGAAAAAGTATTTAAGAAAATTATTTGGTTATTAAAAATTTTAGAGGATGGAATTTAGACTTTTTTATTATTCCGAGTTTAAAAAAAAAATTAAAAATATCCATGCAATACAACCGAAAGAAATTTGTTTGAATTAAAAAACTTTTAGAAATAAAAATTAAAAAAAAGGATTTTACCTCTTGAAAAAAAAAATAGTTAAACAATCTATCTTAGTTCCGATTATAATTTTTAGACATTTTCTATGATAAGTTCTTAAGTGGTTAAGATGGCTAGCTTATGGTATAAAGTAAAAAATAATCGTTATTTTTAAATCGTGTCGCTTTGCTTTCGTATTTAAATTTGTGATAATTTTATATCGTAAAGTTAGTTGTATATTCGTATAGTTTAAATGTTAGTTATAAATATTTTGTCCAAGGGGGGTAGTTTAAAAATGGAAAAGGGGAAGTAGGTATGATTAGGCCTTATTAGGTATTAGAGAATAATGTATGTGTTTGTTTTTATTTGTTTGCTTTGTTTTAACATACATTCACACGCACACATATCTTAATTAAGGTTTGTTTGTTTTGCATTTGTTTGTTGTTTGATTCGGGTTTTATCTAAATAGACTATAATTAAGTTGTTTTGCTTTGTTTTCTTTTTGTTATAATAAAAAATATGTTTATTTTTTTGTTGTTATACATTTAAATATTTACACAGACTTTCTTTCGTTTTTATCATAATCGAAAATTGATTTCTTTTAAAATATTATTTCATAAAAAGAAATAATAAACTTACAGCGAATTTTGTGTTATTCGTTTGATCCGTTACAGCTAAAAGGGAATTCTTGCCACAAGAAACCTCTATAAAATAAACTAAAAGAGGAAATTAAAAACTGCCTTTGGATGTTCTCACGGCCCAGTTATATACACACATATCCATATGTATAAATCCCATGAGTTATCTGTTCTTAGAATTTGGTTGTCAGAGTACTACAACTTTCATTGTTTCTTGACCGCAGAGGTGATGCTGGTTGTGATTTCGTTGCTGTTGAGCTCAAAGATTTCCTTCGTAATTCTTTGGCCTTTATCGTTGTTGTTGTTATACGCGGTGTTATGGCAGCTATAATTTTATTCGTTAAAAACAAAGGTAACTTAATGGGTTTCTGATAATGTTAACATTCGAATTCATTGGCCGTTATTGCACTCAAATCTTTCATTAGACCCTCCAAATTGGCCATTTCCTGATTGAGTTCTTCGGTTGATGTGCTTGGGGCTAGCCTTTGTATCTCATCATTTGAATGGGCCACCGAGGGGCCACTCTGCAAGCGATTGGGTGTGGCAGCTGAAAATGAGGGTTTCTTGTATGGTGATTGATTTTGTGGACGTATTGTTACGGCAGGCGCTGTAATTGAGAGGGGAGAAAAGGGGAAGAATTAGCTTTTGTCTGTAAAATATTTGTTGCAAAATTTCTTACTGTGTTTGTTAACGGGCGTTACTGCACCTGTTGGTGGTGGTCCGGGTACACTGAAACTTTTTAGCGGATGACCGCGTTTGGTACTTTCAATTGTGGAGACTCCCCCGTTACTGGCAGCCCCTGATGCAGCACCGCCAGCCACAGAACCAGGACCTCCTGCACCACCAGCTCCGCCAGGGTAACCAGTATTGCTGAAAAGACAAAAAAGTTTTTGAATTTGAATAGCCTTCTTTTTATTTTCATATAGGAGGTCTTCTATTTATAGAAGGTCGATGGAGGTTTTTATACTCTACAAAACCCTTGATATATTCCAGAATTTTAAGAATTTAAATGTATTTACTACGATAACCGATTTTTTTCTTTATGTTATCGAAAAAAATTACAAAACTAGTAGATGCTTGCAGGTTGTACAACAGAGCATATACAGGGCGAGATGAAAAAACTGCAACCAACTTCAGACTGATGTCATTTCTAAGCCACTCGTCCGACAGCTGTTAAAATTATCCCATCCCAGTGACAGCTCATTATATTGTTTACAAGCGTACAAAAGCATTTTGGTGAGAATTTTCCAGAAAAAAAAGTTATTCGATTATGGAATTCAAGCGTGATAGTGTGATTTCTTTATTTTTGGCTGGAAAAACGCAAGTGGCTATCGTTAGAGCACTCCAGCATTTAAATGTGAATAAATCTTTTGTGTCTCGTACCATCGCTCGTAACTGTTACCGTGATACTGGTAGCGTAGCCCGACGTCAAGGAAGTGGACGGAATAAAACAGAAACATCAGCAGAAATGGTTCGAAAAGTAAAGAGGCGACTTGATCAAAACCCGCGTCGCAGTCGCCGAAAAATGGCATGTGAGCTGAACATATTGCAATATTCCATTCGGTAAATATTGAAAAATGAGCTCGGTGTAAAGCCATTGAAATTCCAAAAAGTGCAAGAACTTACACCGCAACAGAAAGATAATAGACTCAAAAGAGCTAAAGTGTTGCATCGCTTGGTCGAAAGTGGTGAACTGCCGAATTTGGTTTTCTCCGATGAGAAAACACTCGTTGTCCAAAAGTTTGTAAAAAAACAAAATGATCGAGTCTACTTGCCGAAGAGGTCAGGTGAAAATGTGCATCTTCGGTTGGCCATCAGAACTCAAGCGCCGGCCATGGTGGTCCGTCGTATTAATCGACCGTGTAATCAGAATAAATACCGAAAATTATATTCTAGACGGTGTATTAACGCAAACATTTTGGCCGCAGACCTTGGACATTCCAACAGCACTCAGTACCATCGCACTCAGCACGCACCACCCAAGAATGGTTACAAAATGAGTTTCCCCGCTTCATTTCCAGCTCACAATGACCACCAAATCTCCGGATACTAATCCGTTGGACTATTGTGTCTGGAGTATTTTGGAAAGCAGAGCAATATTGTGTGACGGTTTTATTGGCCGTTTGAAGGACATAATTCGTGTCAGAGGTGACCAATTCGAACAAATCTAAGCTTATTCTAAAATTTGATGATATTTCCGACATTTTTTGCTTTTATTCAATACAATTTAAAAAAATGTAAAAATAATGGCGTTTTCTTAATCTCGCCCTGTATATGTTGTTCTTTTATAAATAGTAGGACTTAAAATATTTTGAATAATATCATCTATATTTAAAATTTATAGGAGAAATTTTATTTCACTTTCTCTCTCTCTCTCTAGTGGAGAGTCTTTGTCTTTAGAATGGTAGGCTTTTATCGAATATTTTTATTCATAGAAAACAAATATTTTACTTTTGACGATAATAAATCATGAGCAAACCCTTTTAATTGTTACTTATTAATTCGGAAAGAAATAATATAAAAACTATTATTGGTAAAAAGTATTCCTTCAATTTCAAGAAGTATTTCCATAAAACTAAAATATTATGCCCCGTTCTTTCTCCCATAATCTTTTTTTTTTAATAATAAATCTTTATTTTTAAAAAGTACTCCTTCAATTTCAAAAAGTATTTCATGCGCCGTACTTTTTCTCTTTTTCCTTGGCCAAAAGATCTTGCTTGCGTTTGCGCCTATCTTTCTGTAATTTTCTTTGAGGAGTAAATAATGCTGATCTTCTTTTGCGCCGCCTCTTTTTCACTTTTTGTTCTAGAGCCATCTCTCGATATGGTCGCTTTTGTTCTTCGCTCATATCATTCCACATATGACCAGCCGTTTTTGCCAGCCTAGCTAAATGTTTTGGATGATTTTGTGATTCTTGCATTGCCTTAATACGTACTTCAGCAAAGAAATTTAGAAATGGATTTGGTGTGGCTGCCAGTCGGACTTCACGTAAAATTTCTCGCTTCAATGTACTCGGCGTGAAGGTGACACGAGTTTTGCGAGTTGTGGGTCGTACCAAAGTTGAAAAGATTTCACAGATGGAATTCCAAACGATGGAGGCCATAAGAAAATTTGAAAGAACTATTGTCCAAGTTTAATTTCGTAAAAGATAGAAAATTTCAGTTAGGAAATATAGAAATAATTTTTGACATATCTATTTTTTTGTTTTGAAATGTTTTGTTTTGGAACAGATTTTGAAAACTTAAATTGAAAGTGGCTGGCCACAAAATGGGAAAATATATCAATGTGAGAATATATAAAATGCCTTTCTGACTGGCTTAAGTCATCAGCTGACTTCTTCGGAAAAGAACAAAGGAGCATAGGGTAAGTATAAATTATGGATCGAAATTAAACAACGTCAATTTTAAATTCCTTTCTCGTTTAACTTCAGCCCGTAAAAAGTATTTTATGAATCTGCACCCATGTCTGCACCTTTTAAATATTTTAAATACAACCACGTTTGCCATTTATTTGATGAATTCTATTTAAACAAGTAAAATAGTATCAGTCGGTTTTGCCGACAGATGTAAACTCCCAGCCTTGAGTTATGATTATTCAAACTGTTGACCCTTTATGGGGGAGGTTCCGAAATAGTTGGCCAATATTGACCATTTCGTATCTGACCTAGGTCTGATATAAATATTACAACGTGCCATATATCTATAGACTTTATATGAGATATCTGAAAAATTTAGCTAATCGCCATATTCCACTTCATCTAATACAGATAAAAATATTGGTATGTACAGAATTTAAAGGAAATCGAACATTTGTATCCAATTTTATACGAAATCATAAATTCCGATATTCATTTCAGATTTCTGATTTAGAGAAATGTTTAGATATAGCTAGATGTAAGGAATCGCCGACTTGTTTCGCAAGTTATGACATATATAAGTATTGGAAATTGTGACCCTTTGTGGGTGAGATACCAGAAGGTTTTCCCAGATATATATCACCTTCACAAAAGATCTTGTGTTAGCAAAAATGTTTGGATGTGTGAAATCTGCTTATTTTACTTTTTTTGAGCGTTTTGTTCATCAAATGCGGGGGAGGTACCAAAGGGATTGGTCCGATCTCTACCATCTTTATGACAGATCTTGTGTTGATAGGAATACTGCGATGCGCCAAGCCTGAATGTAATCGGAGGTTCATTTCGTGTTTTATGAGCTTTATAAATATTCAAAATTTTCATCCTTCGTGGGGGAAGAACCAGAAGGAATGGGCCGATATATTCCATCTCCACACAAGACCATGGGCTTATAAAAATATTTTGATGTATTTAATTAGAAGATAATCCGACACTTACATCACATTTTATAAAAGTTATAAGTATGCACATTTTGACCCTCTGAGGGGGAGGTACCAGAAGCAGTGGACCATTTATATTCCATCTTTACACCAGACCTTGGATTAATAAAAATATTGTGATGTGTGTAATTTGAAGACAATCGGAGTTTTACAACACATTTTATAAGACTGGTAGTTATTCAAAATTTTGACCCTTTGTGGGGTGGTACTTGATGGAATGGGCCGATATTGTCCATTTTCGCACTTGACGTAGCACAGACAGAAATATAAGGATTTGCAAAGTTGGAGCAAAATCCGATCATCCTTTCTCTTACAGTGCAGTAAAATACCTTTTTTTTTTAAATTCGACCTTTTGTGGGGAGGTACCACAAGGGGTGTTCCGATGCTGCCCATCTCCGAACTCGATCTAAGTTTGGCAATAATATTACAATGTACCAAATTTGGATCAAATCGAATACTCTCTTCGAGAGTTATCGTGCGCACCAACCAGCGAGACAGACAGTCGGACGGACGGACATCGCTAGATCTACTCTAAATGTCCTGAAACCAATTTGGTCCAAAGAGACATTTGGTCTAAAACTGTTATTTCGATGAGGCACGTTTTGGTCGTATCAAATGAAATATATCCTCTCTACCCATATGGCTGAGGGTATAATAAGAAGGTTGAGATCGTTGGAAAATTATTGCCATAATCGCCATAATCGATCTAGGATAATAGTCTATCTCTATTGTTTTGACAGAGTTTCACCCAAGGCCTACATAGTTTCGGCCAGAAAGACAACTTTTGACAATAATTTGAAAATACTTGGTTGTCAGATGGGCTTTCTGACCGACCCTTATATAGGCCATCATTAGACAGAGTCAAATCACAGCAGTTAAAGTTGTAGTAAGCTTATTGTCAAAAGTGGTCTTCTTGACCGACGTTATATTGGTTACATCCATAAAATGTTCATATTTTTTCCACTTACCAGAAATTCGAATCATATGTGCCATATGGATGCTCTGGCGTTTGTGCCAATGAATTGTTTTGTGGCTGGGATAGGCTTTGCTGTGAGAGACCCGTATCAACATTCATATGAGATCGATTGGCTGGTATGTTGTATTGCGTTCGGGGATATTGTGGTCTTTCCATTGTAGAATTCAACGAGGTGGCTATGGGGTTTTAAGAAGTATATTAATATGTGTTTGTTAAATTTTGGTATCGAAAAACTTACTCATATAGCCTGGTACATAAGAACGTTTGTCCAAAGAGTTGGTTATGTGATTTGGCACCGGCGTGTCCACATCGTAATCATGACCCACTGAACGGGGTAAAGTTAAGGCACCACTACTGGAGGCAGCATCACTACAACCTAAAAAAAAACAAGATGATGTGAATCCATCTATAAACATTACTGGACAAAGTTTGAGAGTAGTGAGGTTATGTTATTACATTTGAAGAGACTTAACCAAAATGTTTAAAAATAAATAAAAAAAATATAATAAATGCAGTAGGAAAGGGGGAATGAATGAATGAACTTATTAATCATGACATCCAATTTCATTTATAAAAAGTTTGGGTAGAAATTCTTGCACTTCTACTATTTCTTATTTTTATTTACTACCTCCCGCGGTAGGGTTAAGCAGCCAACTAGCTTTCCATACTTTATTAGCGCTCTCTTTTTAAAGGAAGATAAGTTGAGAATTCTACAAAACTTTCTAACCAAAAGCAACAAAGTAATCAGAATATAAAATAAAATATTTAACGAAGAAATTTTTTAAACAAAATGTTTAACCTATTAACCTCTTTTCAGTCGATCACAATCATAACATCAATTTTGTAAAATGAAAAAAACAATTAAATTCTTCCTACGAACTTACCCGGTGTCGAACCATGCATTGTCTTATCGATATTCTTCAATTCCATTTGATCATGATGGATCCATAGATCTGGTGGCTTTGGTACACCCATATTACTCTTCTGATAGCTGTTCGAAGATGGGAGACTAGATAATAAGAACTTTGTTGATTTTTTACAACAAACAAACTACCATGCTACATACCTCTTTTTCGTATGCTCCGGTGTGGATTGTGGTTTACGTCGGCACATTATCACAATGACAGCGACCACGATGAAGAGGATCAGGGCAAAACCAAATATAACCATATAGAGTATCATTTCATTGTTGATGCCTTTGTTAATGGCGGTGGGTTCTTGTTTGACGGTCCCAGCCCCTGTTGTGTAGGCAACCAATGCGGAGAAGGGGGCGGTGTTGGCCCCACCCCCCGTTCCGCTGGCAATTTTATTCGTTCTCGCCTGCACTTTAAAATAGTACGTTGTATGGGGTTTTAGATTAGGTAAAATAAACGAAGTTTCATCTCCACTAAATGTTTGTATGTTCCAATCACGATCACGCTTCGTTGTATCTGTGGTGTAATAGATATTATATCCCGAAATGGGATATACTGTATGTTTTGGCTGCATCCAGTGTAGTATGACATTTTGGGAATTCTGTTCATCGGGCTGGACTGATAATTCTCGTGGTGGTGTTATGGGTATATTTTGATAGGTGGTATTCAATACCGCCATGGACCAGGCTGATTCTCGACGTCCCTTCACCACTTTCACCGAAAATTCATATTGGGTATTTGGCCTGAGATCGGTAATCATGGTATTCAAATCGCTAGTATTGTGATAACGATATCGTGTCGTTTGAGATATGCCATAACGCACGGTGTAGTGACGATTATCTGTAACATGCTGATTTTTATTCAAGGTAGTATCTATCCAGTACACAACTATGGAAGAGCTAGACATTGTTATGGCCCTTAAACCCACCGGAACTTCCAGCGGTGTGGGTATATCTATGGGATTTTCATTTATGGTCTTGATATTATCATATATTGGTTGCCCATCACCCTGAATATTGCGTGCCCTTAAAGAGACCACATATTCGGTATTGGGTTCTAAATCCTTGAGCTCATAATAACGATCAGTCTCCTTAAGTTCAACGGTATTTTCATCGGGTATGCCTCGGCCCCAACCCAATACGTAGTTGCGAATTTTTATTTCATGCTGTTGTGGCGGACCCCAATGCAAAGCAATAGTGTCAGCTCCCGGTTGAATACCAATCCATACAGGACGTCCCGGCACTTGGGTTTCATCTAAATCATTTTCCAAGGTCATAACACGATACCATTCCGTAAAAGGTCCCGAGCCGTTTACAGTCATGGCGGCAATTTTTACTTGGTACTCGGAATTACGATCTAAACCACTCAATTCATAGTAACGTATATTGGCGGGGGTGCTCTTTACCTGGGGAGCATCCTTGAGTTTGCGATAACGTATTTTATAACCAGTTATTTGGCCATTGCGTTCCTCCTCAGCCGGTGGTTCCCAGTGTATGGTAATGGACTAAAATGAGGAAATGAAAATATTGGAATTTATTAGGAATCATTTAAGAAATGTTGGAGACAACTTACAGTTGAGCTTGTAACTTCTAGGGTAACATTATTTGGTGGCTCTGATGGCGTTGAGGAGAACGTCTTTATCCGTATCTCATTTGACGGGTCACCCATGCCATTTTTATTGAACGGCACCACGGTTATGGTATAATCTGTGTAGGGCCTCAATTCCGTTAAAACTGCATCCAAGACTGTACTATCATAATACAATTCCGGACCATTGTCCCCCTCCGAATAGTATATGCGATATTTTAAAATTTCACCATTTGTCACTTTGGGTTCTTGCCATTTAACATAGATCTCTTTGTGATTGCGGGCATACCCTTCAACATTGGTTGGAGGACCGGCAATATTTTCCTCGGGTTGTGTTGTTACCTCTAACGGCTCGGATGATTCTCCTGAACCGAAATTCGTATTGGCCACAACACGGAACTGATAGGTGCGTCCCGGTATCAGTGATTGTATATTGACTTGTTGTTCATCGTGGGATTTTGTATCGAGTTTTAGTTCTCTGAAAGGGTTGGAAAGAAAAATAATTTGGATTAAGATATTGTAATGAGCGAAAAATGAATTTTAAATAAAAAAAAACAAAATTATCATATCGGGTTGAAATTGGTTTGCCTTTAACATTTTCAGAATTGAGTCTAATAGACGATTGAAGGTTGAGTCTACCAATTGATAGGAAGAAATTCAAAACTTGAGTTTTGTCTAAAGAAAGCTCCCATTAGTAGGATATAAAACCTAGATGTAAAAATGAGTCCAAATGGGAGTCTGGGAAGAATTTATTGAATTTACTGGTGCTGTAGTGTTGTTTTATTCCCAATCTATGAAGCGGCATATTCCCTCTTAAATTTACAAAAAATAATCCAAGGAAAGTTATAAGAAATATTTTAGAAATTTTGAAGAAATACCGGATTACCCAACATTTCCACCTGTTGACCTATCAACGAAAATGGTTGTCCAATAAAAATCAGACAATAAAGAAAGAGACTAATTTTTTTAGAAAGTTGCAGCAAATTATGTTATGTCGAAAGAAATTCAGTTCCAGGTGACAGGAGACTTAAAAATTGACAAAATTTTCAGAAATTGTAAAAAACTACAAGAATTCCCCGTTGAAAGACACACCACCGTGTATTTCTCCTTTATCCCACCAAAGAAGCAATGCCCCAAGGAATAGCAGACAATAAAGCAGTAGCAGCAGCAATAACAACAATGTTGCAAAGTGACAATAAAATATAATGCTATAACAAAAATTACAAAGTTCCCCCTTGTGCCAGAGACAAAGGACATTTGTTACGCTTCTCCAAATTTGCATTTATAAGCTTAGCAACAACGATTGTTAATATCAAATCAAAGACTACCCACTATAGCGTAGACAACCCCCAAAGGAAACAATTTCAACTCAAATGGAAAACAATTCTGAACGCACTAAATCATAACTTTTATTTTTTGTCACAAGAAACAAGTGATAAAAGGGACCAAAGAAATGAATTGTAAGTGGTATCAAAATTTGCATGTGGGAAGATTAAAGTCACCAGCTTCGAATAGAAAAAGTCACTGCTTATTGTCGTCTGACATTTGCGAGGGAAAATATATAAAAAGTAAAATTTAATACCAAACCAAGAAGGGAGGGAGACAAACAAGTTGCAATAAATTCTTTTCGAAGCCAATCGCTTTTGGCAAACTACAGACAATAAGTTCAGAAGAATTGCGGATTTTGCTGGCAAGAATATGGGGAGAGACATCAAAATGATTTGGATTTAAATAAATCTATAAAAATTGGTTCGTAATAAGAATTAGAAAATCAATTGGCTTAAGACGACTGGCTGAAAGATCTAGTGAAAGGATTTTTAGTATTGAAAACATCTTAATATGGTTCTTGTTGTAAATGAAAAAAAAAATCTTTTTGAAAGGGCATCTATTGGGAAAATCTTTTTTGGGAAAATCTTTTTGAAAGGGCATCTATTTATGCAAGGCTTTTGGAAAAACCTTTGATGTGCAGAAATTTGTCTGGGGAGTTTTTTAAATAGAGAATGCTATCATTAAAGACTTCAATTAAGAGAAAATATGGAAGGAATCCAATGAAAAGAAGGTTTCCGAAGAGCGTTCGTGATAAGTTCTCCCTAAAATTGGACATACATTTTGAGAGGAATTTTCAGAAGTCTATTGAGCATAAGATCTTATTTTTTATCATAGGTGTTGTTATAAAATAACTCCTGGGGAGAATATCTCCAGACAAAATCAAGGGAACCGATGAGGATTGGTGGCTTTTTCCAAAACCTAGGTATCCTTACCTTATCCCTGGAAAACATTACCATATTTCTCCCCTTTTTTTTAAGATGTTTTTATAAAAACATAAAATATCTCTTGAAAGGTATTGTAGGTTCACTACTTCCTGATATTTTTCTATTTGAGAAGAACGTTTGAATGCTAAGAATGCGTTCTGAAAGGCCTTTCAGGTGTAGAAAATCTGGGGAGTTCCTAAAATTATGCTACAAAAATGCAACCTATGATTCTAATATTTTCTGTAATTGGGCCGTAAGAAGAATGCTTCCTGAATGATTCATTTAATAGTTGATTTTTTATGTCTTCCATGAAAATTAAACCTGAAAAATTCTATTGATTAAAAGGCCTTCTAGCAAAGAATATTTTGTAAAATATTTATATTTGTGGAAGAAGTGTTGAATGTTAGGAATGACTCGAAAGGGATTTTAGCTCTTCCTGACTTACGGGAATAACTTATATGCACTGAAGACCTTCAAAAATGTAGATAATGTATGAAATGTTTCCTTTAAGACCTCCTAAAAGGGTCCAACAATGGTATCGTAACGATTAAAAATTTGGCAGGGAAAGTGTGCCAAAGAAAGAAAGGTTTGTTATGCTTTAATTCCTTGTCCTTAGACGTAATGTACTGGGGCTTTCAGATGTATTTCAATAATGGAATATTGAGCACCGTGGTAGCCAAAATTTGATACAAGTAATTTTGGAGGAGAAGATTTAACGACATAAATGAGCGAATTATGTCCACAATTTTTAAATTTCGGGTGCGTCCCTACTCCCTGCTAGAACGATGCCTTTTTTTGAACATAAAAGTGTTGTGCATTGAAAGAGCTTTGTGGACGGATTTTACAGAGAAGCATTCTTAACCGATAGGATATTCAATGCATTTCAAAATATTTGAGAGTCTTCTGAGATTGTTGCAAAAGAATTATAGAAATCCAAATTAATTTTTAATTCCGCAATTCAGAAATTTCTATGTACGGCCAGTAAGTTGAGGGAAGATATGAGCCGGGGGAACTAAGGTTCACATTTCTTGTCCTCAAAGGTGACAACGTTTTCCTTTTCAAACTCCACATATTAAAAGTTTTAAATCAAAGGATTTCTAATATTCGAAATTAGTTTGAAAGTGATACCACTCAACATCCAGAATCTTCAAATATTAAAGTTTCTAAATGTAAATTAAAAATAAATATTACAATTATTATTTCACCATTATTAAATAAGAAAAGTACTTACCTCTCACTGTTATTCATTTTATAGTAGACCGTATAGGAGACCACTTCCACGGGATTCTTGATGGGTTCGATCCAGCTCAGCGTCACAAAACGAGGTTTGACAATTTGTGCCACCAAATCTCTGGGTGGTCCGGGCAGACGATTCTTCAGACCAGATTCAAGAGCATTTGTATTTCCTTTGCCGCCACCGCTATTCGATGCAGCACCACCAATGCCACCAGCACCATCTGATAAATCTAAAACTATAGAAGATGAACGGGAGGAGGTTTGTTCTGGTGAATGATTGGAATTGGATGGATTAAGTTTTTTCTTATTTGTCCATGAATTTAAAACTTTATTCGGATCATAGCCATTTTTATAGGCATTTATGTATTCTTCATTAGCTGCAGGATTATCATAATCATCATCGTCGTCCTCGTCGTCGTCATCATCACCCGAATTTGGGTTCAATTGTTTGGTAAGTGTCCGATCGTATTCATTAATATTACGAGGTAATTCACTTGAAAATTCCTCATCATCGTCATCGGCGAAATGCATCAGCTCATCGTAATGACGATCGTTTAAAGGTTGATCGGGAAAATTACTAAATTTCCTATTACCCTTTTGCGAGAGTAAACTATCTAAGGCACTTTTCGATATGCGTGTCTCTACATTATCACCCGACTTGGTGCGCACTTCACCGGAACTGAGTTTATTTTTACGCCTATTCTTGTTGGACGTGGTCTGTGGCGGACCACGGTCTAGGTAAAGGGATTTGGTGGTTTGCGATTGGGATTTTCGTTGTTTTTTCAATTTGCCTTGGGTGAGAGGGGGAGGTGGTGGTGTGGGGACAGACGGATGATGAAAGGAGTGTTGAGGATAGGAATGAAATAATATTGAATGAAAGAAAGAAGAAAAAAATGAAAAGAAAATTAAAAATAAAAGAAAAGTTTATTAAAAAAATATAAAATAAAAAATATTGAAAATTTTATAATAATTAATACATTTGTATTTGAAGAAAATATATATAAATAATAAATATTTACAAATAAATATATACATTATAATAACATCGAAAGCGATATAAATAAATAATATAATAATAAAAATAATAGTTTTAAAAATAAAGAAATTAATATGCCTATTAAAATCTATGCATTATGTACATTTTGAAAAATAATTAGCAATCTAAATAGCACAAATTAGCAAATTTAAACACATTTTATTTTAGAAATTTTCTGGCTATTGAAAAAAAACCGTGAAATTATAAAAAAATTGCAGGAAAATTCAAAAAAAAGTGCTAAATTTATCGAAAAATAGGCAAAATTGGCTACATACAGGGTGAGATAAGAAAAACTGCAACCAACTTCAGACTGTTGTCATTTCTAAGCCACTAGTCCGACAGCTGTTAAAATCATTCCAGTGACAGTCCATTATATTGTTTACAAGCGTACAAAAGCATTTTGGTGAGAATTTTCCAGAAAAAAAAAGTTATTCCTGATGGAATTCAAGCGTGATAGTGTAATTTCTTTATATTTGGCTGGAATACCACAAGTGGCTATCGTTAGAGCCTTCGAGCATTTGAATGTGAATAAATCTTTTGTGTCTCGTACAATCGCTCGTTACCGTGATACTGGTAGCGTAGCCAGACGTCAAGGAAGTAGACGTAAAAAAAAGCAACATCAGCAGAAATGGTTCAAAAAGTTAGGAAGCGACTTGATCGAAACCGTGTCGCAGTGGCCGAAAAATGGCTCTCGAGCTGAACATATCGCAATATTCCATTCGGCAAATATTGAAAAATGAGCTCGGTGTAAAGCCATTGAAAATCCAAACAGTGCAAGAACTTACACCGCAACAGAAAGAAAATAGACTCAAAAGAGCTAAAGAGATGCTTCGCTTGCCCGAAAGTGGTGAACTGCCGATTTTGGTTTTCTCCGATGAGAAAACATTCGTTGTCCAGCAGTTTGTAAACAAACAAAATGATCGTGTTTACTTGCCAAAGAGGTCAGCTGAAAATGTGCACCTTCGGTTGGCCACCAGAACTCAAGCGCCATAACAGCCGATCGTCGCTCTCCGCTCGTATTAATCGACCGTGGCATCAGAATAAATGCCGAATATTATCGCGGAAATATTCTGGAGGGTGTATTAAAGCCTTGGCCACGCAAACATTTTGGCCGCAGACCTTGGACATTCCAACAGGACTCAGCACGCGCCACCCAAAAATGGTTACAAAACCAGGTTCCTCGCTTCATTTCCAGCGCACAATGGCCACCAAAATCCCCGCATACCAATCCGTTGGACTATTGTGTCTGGAGTATTTTGGAAAACAAAGTTGGCACTAAAAAATACCAAAGTGTCGATCACCTCAAGCAAGCGCTTCGCCGGGAATGGACCAAAATATCGCAGAGCAACATTCGGGCAGCGTTTGACGGTTTCATCGGCCGTTTGAAGGCCATAATTCGTGCCAAAGGTGACCAATTCGAACAAATCTAAACGTATTCTAAAATTTGATGCTATTTTCGATATTTTTTGCTTTCATTCAATAAAATTAAAAAAAAATGTAAATGTTACGGCGTTTGACTTTTTTGCAGTTTTGTATCTCAGCCTGTAGATTTACTCTGTCTTCTTAATCCCCAACAAATAGCCAAAATTATGAAAAATTCTGAAATGCTAATCCAAATTTCATTTTTTTTCATTTTTTACCAAAGTTAGGAAAATTTTTTGTTTCAAATAAAAAATAGATATTCCAAATTTTTCTACACCTTTTCCCACAAAAGGTCAATTTTTCACAAATCAAGAATCTCGTAAAATGGGAGGAAAATTTTCAAATTTGGCAAAAGAAATATTTTTTTTAAAAATTGGAATTTTTAATGTTTGTCTAAAACTTAGTTTTCTAAATCTACTTCAAGATAAATTGATTCGAAATGTTGTTTTTTATAAAATGTAAATTTTTTTATTAAAAATTTAACAAAAAAAGGCATCAATTGTTGACATATAAATACTAAAAATTAAGCTTGGCAAAAATACATAGCTTGGAATAAATAAATAATATAAAATAAAATCATATATAAATAATTTATGTTGGGATTTTGTTCAAGGGACTTAGGGATATACAATGGAAAAACTTTGTACACCGGGCATTATTTCCCAGAGCAGGGGATTTGCGGGAACAGAACCATTAAATGTAAGCCATGGGTTTATCCTCTACTCTATTATGAATAATACTAAGCTGGCGGGGTAATATTTATAACTATGGCTTATGTATGCATATACTTTATCGTTAAACACTAGAGCCTCGAATTGCGTCGTTTCAATTTGAATAGCTTTTTGAAAACTTTCAAAAATATTCAATTGTTTGATTTTTTCCCATTAAATTAAATTTCAGTGCATTTTGAAAAGATATGCAAAATTGTGATCCAATTCCCAATCAATTTGGACCACCATTAACTACGCAAGTCGAGGCTCTAGTGTAGTTATATAAACACTATGGACAAGCTAAGATATATTTCATAAACAAAATTATTTTTAATAACTCACCTGGTTGCACCACTCTCAGTCTGGCTGCAGCCTGCACACTTCCCGCCGGATTGGTGCCGACACATTGGAACATACCAGCATCGGATTGCAATAGGCCAAGTATTCTCAAATTATGCCCGGCAATAATTTGCATATAATCATTGGGTGTAATGAAATCACCGTTCTTTAGCCATTTAATAATGGGTTTTGGTTTACCCCTAATGGCACATTCCAGTTCCAATTCCTCCTTTTCAAAGGCTGTCTTATCTTTGGGACTTTGTATGAATTTTGGTGGTACCTGCACCTGTACCGTGGCCTGGGCATCGAGAGAGTCGACCGTGTTACTGGCACGACATTGATAGTTGCCGGAATCGATATCCTCGGCTGAGGAAATTTGTAGAGATCCAGTGCCAATTATTGAAAATCTTGAGTCCAAATCGTTGAGATCAAGTTCTTCACCATTCCGTAACCATTTTATTTGCGGTTTAGGCACCCCATTGGCCACACAGTCTAGGGTAACAACATCACCCTCCTTGACGGTTTGTGGTGAGGGACCAACAAGGAATGCAGGCGCCACTGGATTATCACCATTTTCCAAACTCTTTTTTATGCTCAAATTAGTTTTACTGCTTAGCCGCGATATGGAACCGGATGTCACATTACACTGATAGACACCACGATCACTGGGCGTTATCTCATCGATTTCCAGAGCACCATTTGGCAAGATGACCATACGTAGCTTATCCAATTGCAAAGGCATATCATCTTTTATCCAGTGCACATAGTGCCGCATACCGGGTTGCGTCTGGCCAATCATGCAACGAAAGTAGGCTGTTTGTCCGGGCAGCAGATAGGTCTCTATGAAATCTTGATTTAAGTCCGGCAAACGGGCAATGGACACCACAGCCGAACGGCTGACAATGGTGCCAATGCCATCAACGGACAATAGACATTGATAGGATCCAGTGAGACCCCGATTTTCCTCCACCGAACTTATGTACAGGGAACCATTTTTCAGCTGTGTCCGAAATGTGTCACCCACAATGCCCAAATCCTGGCCATCTGGTCCTCGCCATCGTATGTTGGGGGCAATCTTTTGATTTTTGCCCAATTGGGCCACACCGGCACATTGCATCAGCACTGAATGACCTTCGGGCACCACCACATCTTGTGGTTCTATGCTAAATGTGAGGGCTGTAAGGAGTTGGAAAAAAGAAAGAGAAGAAAAAGAGATCAATAAAAACTCAATTCATTTTGATTTTCAATCAAGAATTATTACTCTAGCCTAGATATGAATGAAACGCGGTCTGTTGGAATGGACGATTGTCGTAACTTCTTTAATTTCAATTAATCTATAAAACGTTTATGGCTGATAGCTTCATCAAATCGCTTCATCATCGTCTGCCAGGGGGATCGTAAAAAATCAGTTTGTTTTAATTAAAATACGGTGATGTTGCAAGGCGATTTTCATGAGGCTCCTTTTGTTTTGTTTCCACTGGCAAATAAGACTCGAGGAAAAATGAAAAAATACGCCAAAGAAAAAGATATTTTTGTTTATTGCAATGGCTTTGTTTTTATGAGGCAATGAGGCTTTATTACACCATTTCCAAAGTAACACAAAGAGATTCGAAATTGGACACCAAGCTTTCAGTAAACATAGAAGATAATCGGCAAAGGTGAATTGCATTAAAGAAATTGGGACCTATTAGTCGGAATGTGCGTAAAGCTAATCCAATCCGTTGGACTATTGTGTCCAAGCGATAAATAGGGTTAATAATACAGTACAACCCAAAACATAATTACAGAAAAAATCCTGCAGATTATGATAAGAGTTTAAAAAATACAGGGTGAGATAAAAAAAAACTTCAAAAAAGTCAAACGCCATAATTTTTACATTTTTTTTAAATTTTATTGAAAAAATTTCGGAAATAGCATCAAATTTTAGAAAAAGTCTAGACTTGTTCGAATTGTCACCTTTGGCACGAATTATGGCCTTCAAACGGTCATTGAAAACGTCACACGCTACCCGAATGTTGCTCAGCGGTATTTTGGCCCATTCCCGGCGAAGCACTTGATTGAGGTGATCGATACTTTGGTATTTTTTAGTGCTAACATTGCTTTCCAAAATACTCCAGACACAATAGTCCAACGGATTGGTATCCGGAGATTTTGGTGGCCATTGTGCGCTGGTAATGATGCAAGGAACCTCATTTTTTGTAACCATTCTTGGTTGGCGCGGGATATGTGAGATGGTGCTGAGTCCTGTTGGAATGTCCAAGGTCTGCGGCCAAAATGTTTAATACACCCTCCAGAATATTTTCGCGATAATATTCAGCATTTATTCTGATGCCACGGTCGATTAATAGGAGCGGAGAGCGGCCATTGGCTGTTCCTGTGGCCCATACCATCACCATGGCCGGCGCTAGATTTCTAGTGGTCAGCCGAAGGCGCGCATTTTCAGCTGACCTCTTTGGCAAGTAAACTCGATAATTTTGTTTGTTTACAAAATGCTGGACAACGAATGTTTTCTCATCGGAGAAACCCAAATTCGGCAGTTCAACACTTTCGGCCAAGCGAAGCAACTCTTTAGATCTTTTGAGTCTATTTTCTTTTTGTTGCGGTGTAAGTTCTTGCACTTTTTGGAATTTCAATGGCTTTACCCAAAGCTGATTTTTCAATATTTGCCGAATGGAATATTGCGATATGTTCAGTTCACGAGCCATTTTTCGGCCACAGCGACGCGGGTTCCGATCAAGTCGCTTCTTTACTTTTCGAACCATTTCTGGTGATGTTGCTGTTTTCTTCCGTCCACTTCTTTGTCGTCGGGCTACGCTACCAGTATCACGGTAATGAGCGTTGGTACGACACTCAAAAGATTTATTCATATTTAAATGCTAGAGTGCTCTAACGATAACCACTTTTGGTTTTTCAGCCAAATATAAAGAAATCACACTATCACGCTTGAATTCCATCACGAAAAACTTTTTTCGGGGGAATTCTCACCAAAATGCTTTTGTATGCTTGTAAACAATATAATGAGCTATCACTGGAATAATTTTAACAGCTGTCGGACGAGTGGCTTATAAACCTTTATTTTATTATTTTTGTGTGTTATGTCCGTATCGATCGATTTCTAAGTTCATTTAAAATTTGTGTGCCTTTTTGTGACAAATTTATTCTTAAATGTCTTAAATTTCCCCCTTAATCAGACTCTTTATCTCTCTCACCCTCTCTCTTTATTTACTATTTCTTTACCTGAGTAAAATGTATGTTGTTTGTGTCTTTGCCATATTAATTTTGCAATTTTAGCATTGAGTTTTGCATTAAAGCTTCCTAGATTTCTAATAAGAAATCTCTTATTCAATATTCCTTAAAATTTAAAACCCAAATGGAAACTGTGTCAGAAACTTAAGCGCATTTCAAATTTATAGTTCTTTTTTAATTGCAATACCCCTACACACACTGATAGTTAAAAGAGAAAAAAAAACAACAGTTCAGAGATAGAGAGGGAGTTGCAAATGTAAATGATTGAGAGGAATGTTAAAGGAATACCTGCAATTATAAAAACAAAAACTCCATACCGAGATTTTCCTAAAGTTTATGGCTGAATATAAAACGTTTATGACAGATAACTGTTTATGATGACATAAAGAAGATAGTTCTCTGGAAGTAGTTCCATGCAGAGGACATTGAAAAAGTTAAACAGTTTGAATGCCTTCTTCTTCTTCTCAACCATTAATAACTTAATTAAGTTCTCTCTTCTAACGGGGGAAAATGAAATGTCCATTCAAATTACAACAAGTCTAGGATGCCAAGCCCTCTGGGATCATGATAATTATATGTAAACATATTGTTGTTCTCCTCTTTTTGTCCATTGTCCATTTACCATATGGTTTTGTAATGTAATTAAATTTACAAAATGTAGAGAATTTTTTCCTAACAATTACAACAGGACTAGCCGATTGTTGTTTGTGATACCACACCCCGAACTTTTAGCCCGTGACTTATGCACATTCCTACATACGTATGTATGTATTAAGTATAATATTGTTAATGAGTTGGCCATAGAAAAAAAGCAAACGTTTTCTCTGCTCATTATTTAATGAATGAAATTGTTTGCACAATTATTTTCAGTTTTTATGCCGAGAGGGAGAGAGAGAGAATAAAAATACAAAACAGAATATCATTTAGACCTAACCCTGATAGTGAAAATTGAAATAAATGAAGTAACTTAATAGCACATCACAAACATTGACACATATATACTTATATACTACACGACAAAAAACAACGTTTTTTGTAACCTCAGAGCCTTTTAGCTACTGATACTAGTATTATGTAACAAGTTAAAAAGTATCAGTCAGTTTTGCCGGCAAATGTATGCCATCAACCAATGTTCGATTATTCAAACACATTTTGACTTCTGTTATGATTATTCAATTTGTTGGCCCTCTAAACAGGGTGAGATGAAAAAACGGCAACCAACTTCAGACTGCTACCATTTCTAAGCCACTCGTCCGACAGCTGTTAAAATTATTCCAGTGCCAGCTCATTATATTGTTTACAAGCGTATAAAAGCATTTTGGTGAGAATTTTCCAGAAAAAAAAGTTATTCGCGATGGAATTCAAGCGTGATAGTGTGATTTCTTTATATTTGGCTGGAAAACCAAAAGTGGCTATCGTTAGAGCACTCCAGCATTAAAATGTGAATCTTTTGTGTCCCATACCATCGCTCGTTACCGTGATATTGGTAGCGTAGCCTGACGTCAAGGAAGTGGACGGAAGGAAACAGCAGAATCAGCAGAAATGGTTCGAAAAGTAAAGAAGCGACTTATCGAAACCCCCGCAGCAGAGGCCATAAAATGGCTCGTGAGCTGAACATATCGCAATATTCCATTCGGCAAATATTGAAAAATGAGCTCGGAGTAAAGCCATTGAAATTCCAAAAAGTGCAAGAACTTACACCACAACGGAAAGAAAATATACTCAAAAGAGCTAAAGAGTTGCTTCGCTTGGCCGAACGTGGTGAACTGCCGAATTTGGTTTTCTCCGCGCCGATGAGAAGTCATTCGTTGTTCAGCAGTTTGTAAACAAACAAAATGATCGTGTTTACTTGCCAAAGAGGTCAGCTGAAAATGTGCACCCTCGGTTGACCACCAGAACTCAAGCGTCGGCTGTAGTGATGGTGTAGGCCGCCATGACAACCGAAGGTCGCTCTCCGCTCGTATTAATCGACCGTGGCATCAGAATAAATGCCGAAAAAAGCCTTGGGCACACAAACATTTTGGCCGCAGACCCTGGGCATTCCAACAGGAATCAACACCATCGCACTTAGGACGCGCCACCCAAGAATGGTTACAAAATGAGGTTTCTCGTATGATTTCCAGCGCACAATGGCCACCAAAATCTCCGGATACCAATCCGTTGGACTATTGTGTCTGGAGTATTTTGGAAAGCAAGGTTGGCACTAAAAAATACCAAAGCGTCGATCAATTCAAGCAAGCGCTTCGCCGGGAATGGGCCCAAATACCGCAGAGCAACATTCGGGCAGCGTGCGACGGTGTCAATGGCCGTTTGTAGGCCATAGTTCGTGCCAAAGGTGACCAATTCGAACAACTCTAAACTTATTCTAAGATTTGATGCTAAAAATATAAAATTAAAAATTATGGAGTTAGCCTTTGTTGCAGTTTTTTTTATCTCATTGTAAAATACAATGAAAAATGCAATAAATAATTTCTTTATATTATTTTGATCAGCTCTGCATTAAAAAATATGCCCGCATATTGTGATTTTGAAATATTAATCTTTCTATTTCACCTATCCTAATTTAACACCAAATTACGAATTAATATCACCCAACAATCCGAACTTGGTTCTGCAAACTTTTTCTTGTTTGTTGTTTCTCTCGGTGCATATTACAGCTTCTAAATTAATCTAAAACAATGACATTTTGTTAAAACAATTTTACAGCTCATTAGCAAAAGGGAAAAGATGCATATACATGTGTACGTGTGAGTGTGTGTGCACGCTCAATGTCCTCTGTGAAAACCTAATGTTTTTCCTGGAAAAATAAATGGGGAAAAAAAATAACAAAAAGAAAAAGCTGACAAAACTAATGTAACCTTAATGTTTTAAACAGACACTCATTAGAGACACAAGCATTTGAGTCACAAGTAGCAGAGCATACTTTTAGG